TGGGATTTTTTAACCAAAAAAAGAAAAAAAAAAGTAATTTTTGTTTATATTAAGAATTCATTTTTAACTCAATTATTAAAAAAAATTTGGTTATATTTGATTTTTAATACTTATTATATATTTTATAAGTAACTAATATAATTTGATATGATTTAAGATATGATTGGATATGATTTAGGTTTCTATTATAATTGGAATGTGTTTGGTTGATATCTTATTTGATTTAGATGTCTTATTAGAGTCTTTTGTTTAGATATTATTTGATTTAAATGTCTTATTAGGATATTTTTTTTAGGCAAGATTATCTTATTATAAATAGGATGATAAAGAATCCAATTCAATGAAATTATATTTTGTTATTATGTTCATATTCTTTTCCCCTAAAATTTGATAGTAACTCACCATAAGTCTACCTGAATATAGCTTGATTGGTTCATATTTTATCAATGTCTCCCTAAAATTTGTTCATATTTTATAAATGTTTTAAAAAAGACGAACAATAACAATAATTTTATTTTGTCGTTTCCAAAATTTGTATATAATTATGGAAACGTTTCTCAATAATGAAGAACGATAAACGCAAATAGTAACCGAAGTCCTTATATTTCTAGAAAACAAAAATTTTATTGAATACATCCTTAATAATCTAAAGTAATCGTTGTTTTTTTGAAATTGACGATCAAAGTGAATGAAGAAGTCTTATTTTTCTATTGAAAATCAAAAGTTTACATAAACACAATGTAACAACTTTATCGGAAAATAAAAAACCAAACACGCAGCCAAAGTGAGCATAGCTCGGCTGTAATTGACATATATCTCCAACTAAGAGGTTGTGAAAATAAATAAATAAAAAATATATATATGTTAAGGGGTGTTTGTTTGGTGGGAAAATTGTAAATTTATTTAATGTTCAAAAAATGCCCCTACCGGTCATCATATAATTTATATGTAAAATTTACTATTATTTGAATTCATATGAAAATTTTACTTGAGTTAATTTAGTATTATATTTTAGTTTATGTTTGGTGACTATTGGAAGAGTAAAATAAATGGATATTGCACGCTAGGTTTGAATTAAAAATAAATTAAGATGTTATACCAACTAATGTTTATTTTATATCTAAATGTAGCATATAAATAAAATTGTATTTATATATTATTAATTGTGAATTAATGTATACAATTATTTTTAAAATAAAAGGGAAAGTAAATATTATTGATGAAAAAAGTATTATAAAACAAAAATAACGAGAGACAAAATTGTCAAATGCTCTCGAAACGAGAATCTTAAAAATCCATGTTACATGAGGGAATCTAAAAGTGTTGCATCCTAAGATACTAAAGCATCTAATATTTTCGTTGGCCATTTTCCAACGATTATATGTATCAATAACATTTTGTGTAGCATTTGCAGTAGGTTATTGAAGACATTCTGACAGAACGAATCTCAAATCATCCACCAACAAGATAATATTAATGTTATTTTTCCATGTGGTATAGTTTTCACCGTTCAATTTCTCCCTAGCGAATACTGAAATTAAGGCAGACATTTTTACTGAAATATAAAAGAGTAATATTAAAAAATTTGAAAACACTACCATTCAATTTTTAGCTTAAAAATCAACCAATTTAATAAATTAATCAAATAAATAATTTTTAATGTTATAGTACTAGCCTCAGTTTAATTGAGACAATCTCAACAAAAAAAAAAAAAAATATACTAGAATAATGCAACTCCCAAACAATCTTAGTTCCTAGAAGTTTTCCCCTTCGACCGGCTTAAAATTTCCTTAGCTCTCTTATAGTCGATTTTTATTCAAGTTAATCAATCTTGACTTAACTATATAATAAACCATGTAAGACTTGTTTTTAATGGTATTAAAAACTAATTCATTTAAACGCAATCTCAATTGTTATTCAAAATTTTAAACCCTTTTCAGAACATAAATAATAGAATATCCCTAATCCTATTAAAAATATAGAAAGATAATTCATAACTCAATTAAAATCTTGAAATAAATTATTTATATTTGACTTTTTTAATCATATTAAAAAAAATAATTTTTATCTCTATTAAAATTTTATACTCTTTAATTTTGAATTAAAACTTTAGACTTAATTTCTCTAATCATATTTAAAAAACAAAATATAATTGTCAACTCAATTTATTTAGAGTTTGAAATAAACAAATTATTTATCGATATAACAATTATATTTAAAACAACAATTCAGGATATCAGATATGCATCACTTGTAATGAGATTTTGTTGAATGTTTATACTTTGCAAAATGACGTTGAAGCTGCAGAAAATATTCTCCTCGAGATGAAGAAGATGAAAATCGAACGGGACTGGGTAACATTAAGCACATTAACTAATCTGTATTCCAAAAAGCAACTTACTGAAAAAGCATCATCTACTTTGAAGGAAATGGAGAAAATGGCATCTAAAAGAAACAGAATCACATTTTCCTCTCTTCTTAGCCTATACACCAATTTGGGGGATAAGGATGGAGTTTGGATGATATGGAAAAAGATGAATACGTCGTTCCGAAAGATGAGTGATAGTGAGTAATACTTGCATGATATCTTCTCTCGTGAAACTCCACGAGCTAGAGGAGGCCGAGAAACTCTATACTGAATGGGAGTCGGTGTCTGGGACAGGCGATACTAGCTCGGGTTCCAAACATACTGCTTGCGGCATATATCAACAATAATCAAATGGAACAAGCTGAGAGTTTCTACGATCGGATGTCGCTAAAAGGAATTGCTCCATCTTACACAACTTGGGAGCTCCTCACGTGGGGTTATTTGAAGGAGAATCAGATGGAGAAAGTGCTGCATTTCTTCAAGAATGCTGTTGGCAGTGTGAAGAAATGGAATGCTGATGAGAGATTGGTTAAACAAGTGTGTAAGAAACTTGAGGAGGAGGGTAACATTGAATGGGCAGAAAAGTTATTGATTGTTCTTAGGAATGCAGGTCATGCTAATACTGAGATTTACAATTCTCTTTTGCGCACTTGTGCAAAAGCTGGTAAAATGCCACTCATAGTTGCTGAAAGAATGGAAAAGGATGATGTTCAGTTGGATGAAGAGACTCGTGAGCTTATAAAATTGACCAGCAAGATGTGTGTGAGTGATGTTTCGAGCACTGTTTACTACGAAACCCGAAAAACCGACCAAACTGATTGAACTAACTGAATTCAATTGGTTTGAAGTATATTTTAGTCCAAGTCAGGTTAGATTTCTTGAGGAATTTTTGGCCTATATGTCAGTTGATGTTGGTGTTGGCAAAATATATGACATGAACCGACCCGAACTAACTCGCTCGTTGATACTAGCGATTTTCGGGAATTTGCTCAGCAGGTTGTAGAATCTTGAGAGTTTTTGCCGGTGCAATATTAGTTTGATGTGGTGTTTTAGCAATCTTCTCAAATGAATCATGAATTTACAATCAGCTCAGCCAAAGCCAAATTCTGAAGCTGCTTGGGTATTTGATATACATTGATGAGTACTACAAATTAAATTATTTCCAAAGCTCTCCCTAAATGTTGTATTTTGCTCTCAATTGCTTGATTGAATATAGGATTTAACTCATTTTTGGTATTAATTAGCCTCTTTACTAGGATCGGATCAGCTAGTTTGAGCATAGTTCGTGGATAGTTAAAAAATACATGCATTATACCTAGTTTAATGGTATTTTAAACTTCTTAAAATCATAACATAATTGACACCATAAAATGATAAGAAAAATGTAAAAAAAAAAAAAAACTTTAATTTTTGGGTAAGATACAATTTTGGTCATTAGAAGATAGGGTTCTATTTGGTTTTCAAAAATTGACATTTTAGTCTCGAACCTCTAGAAAATAGTTCTAAAAGGTCTTGGAGTTAGCATTTCTGACTAATGGAATACTGAGATATTGATGAGTTTGATATATATTATTTTTAATTATGCGTCTTTTTTCTCATTATATTTTTTTACTTGAACAATATATGAGATTGAGAATTGGAATCTAGGATGTTTTTACTTCTTTTATAAATGGTTAACAATAAAGAGAAAAATTTATTATGTGAAATCGTTAATAAGCTCTTTAACAAGTTGCTGACTTATGTTCTAACAATTAAATGAGATATTTGTTCGTTTTGTACAAGTCTATTCATTTTAAAAATAAGATTAAAGCTTAACCAAAATTAATATACCTAATAATAAGGTTAAATCTTACAAGAAGTTGTCAAATTGAAGGCAAAGTCTGAATTAAATAGAAAAATACACTGTTGGGATTATTCTATAACGGTAAAATACGGGATTTTCCCCATAATTTTAAACCACGAAGATGAATTTTGTAAACATTTTCAAATTATTATATATTTATTTATTTAGTTTAAAAAGTGAGTGAGGATTTAAATTATATACTTTATTTAGCTAAGTTCAAGTTCAAGTTGACAATTTACTATTTTTGTAAATAACGTCATTATGTGGTGTAGATGTAATATAACCTTTTTCTAAAAAAAAAGGAGAAAAAAAAATTAAACCACAACATTTGAAAATTTGATGCGGTGCTTTTTCTAATAAAAAAAAATTTGAATGAGAAATATTTAAAATGAATATGAGTATTATTTTTTTGTTGGACGTTCACTAGAGAATAAAATAATTAAAATATTTGACTAATATAACATGTCATTCATAATTTTTAAATCAAAGGATAAATTTTGATAAATAATATTATTTGAAATTAAAATATGCGAAATTTGACTATTTTAATATGAAAATTGTTTAAAGAAAAAAAAATTAACTTAAAATTATAAAATAAATTAAAAATTCGGAGAAAGAAACAAATGGACGAAAATATAGATATTCCAAACGAAAAGTTTCTCTAAAAAAAAATAATAATAATAAAAATAACCTGGCGTGAAGGGGCAATTATGGAATCTAAAAGATTTGTGAGGGTATAATTGCAAACAGGTTAAAAACAAGAATTTTCAGAATATAAATAGAGGGCAGTTATCACTCCCGAAAACCCTAGAGCGATTTGAGAAAGGCGGAAACCCTAGCTCTGCAATTGGAGCCTCTGCCGCCCTTTGCTCACTGAATTCGACAGCCATGGCTACTGCTAAGACCGTCAAGGATGTATCTCCTCACGAGTTCGTCAAGGCCTATGCCGCTCATCTCAAGCGATCTGGAAAGGTATCGGGTTTTTCTTATATACTCTGTTTTTTTTTCCTTTCTGATTTTCTGGACGAGAGAACTAGGTTGTCGATTGAAGAGAGTATCCTGTGATGTTGATTTCGAGAACGGAGTGAATGCTAAATTTGAGTTTCATCTGGGATGGTTCTGTTGTGGGGTGTGCTTGTTTCTGTGTTGTTTGCCTTCTTTATCGGCTTCTCCAGGCCTCCATTTTACTTAGTTTTTTTTATTCTTCCTAATAAAACAAATAGTTTGTAGGTTTTAGGGCGTAGACGTTTTGATCGATCTGCTCCTGCTTTTGGACTGTCCTCTCAATGTTTTGAATTTCCCTGTTCCGTTGATTAAATTTGTTGGTGGGAGTACTATATTCTCTTATTTTTATTTACTGGCTTTTTGCACCTCATGAGGTGGTGTGAAATATTTTACTTTCTTGCACTCATACTTGCTCCGGAGTGTTTTTTGGATCTATTAAAGACACGTTCTTGGTGTAAAGAATTTTGTAATGTTCAATAGAGCTTTTGAGTTTCTGGGATCCAAGCGAGTATAAATGATTTTTTGGCCATATGGAAAAATATTTTGTAATCATAAATGGCCCGTGGTTTAGCATCCCCTGCTGTTGTAATATTATTAGACTATCTAGAATGATTCCTATTAAAAGAGGAACAAATTAGAAGACATTTTGGAATCTCCATAGTAAGAATTATATATTTTTTGAATTCCATTTCTATGACAATGATTTTAATAGGCATGCTGTTGTAACTTAATCAAAATATTCCCATTAAAAAAATTGGTATGAATTTGTACATTATATGTTCCTTGTTTACGATAAGTTTAACCTGTAACGGCTATTAGATTTATTTAACCAATTAATCAATTATGATTTGCAATATATGTGGTTTTAAATTGCTATCCTTTGCATAAACCATTGCCGAGCAGGTTGAACTCCCACCATGGACAGATATAGTGAAGACTGCAAGATTCAAAGAGCTTGCTCCTTATGATCCTGATTGGTATTACGTGAGAGCTGGTTAGTCCCCTACTTTCCTCTTTTTGATTTCATATATTCATATGATATAAATAAAACAAACTAAAATTAATTACTGCCATTATTTGTGGTCTGTTTGTGCTGCTCTGTTGATTACTTTGTCAAACTTTATTAGCATCCATGGCAAGGAAGATCTACTTGAGGGGAGGTCTTGGTGTGGGAGCATTTAAGCGTATTTATGGTGGAAGCCAGAGGAATGGAAGTCGCCCACCACACTTCTGCAAAAGCAGCGGTGCTATTGCCCGTCACATTTTACATCAATTGCAGGAGATGAACATTGTTGATGTTGACCCGAAGGGGTGAGTTCAAGATTCTAATAGTTAGCTTAGTTATAACTTCTCTGTTTCCTGTCTTTGATTCCACCATATGCTTTGTGTTTTGCTCTGATTTCAAATCATTTGTAACCAATGCTATATTGTCCATTGATATTCTTTTGCAGTGGAAGGAGAATCACTTCAAGCGGTCGACGGGATCTCGATCAAGTCGCTGGACGGATTGTTGTTGCCCCGTGAGCGATCAATTACCTGTTTTGATAATTAGACTTATGTTTTGCCTGATGAGATACAATTAATTTCTTATGCGCCATTAAAATTTTGGATTTAGCTGTTTAAAGATTTTCAGATGAAGATGGTTACTCATGTTTTTCTCACGGGTTCTGAATGGTTTAAAGTAATCTTCTATTCCGTTAGTTATTTGTTTTTTCCTTTTTTTGTGTGTTTCTTTGGATAAAAGATGTTCTTAATATATTTGCAATAATTAAGATATTTTTATCATCGTTTTAATCTTGTTTAAATTGCTTTGTTAGTTGTGCCGTTCATAATTCATACAAGTGTTATATTTGTTTAAATAAATAAATTTTTTTAATATATTTTTTTAAATCTTTACTTTTAGATTTGAGAGTGAAACATAGAGGTGATAGATATTTATTTTGGACAAATAAGGCAATTTTTATCGTTCGCTGGAGACCCCATATCTATTTACAATATAATGGTTTCCTATCATAATTTTGTTGGGTTAAACATTGTTTTGGTTTTTAATTTAACATTTTATTTTTAATCTATTAATAATATATCATACAAAAAAATCACTAAACACATTGATTTAATTTTTCTTAAAAAAACAGAGATATACTTGTTTTCTTTTTGTTAATTATTAAATATTAAAAATTTAAGCAAATGGCATGTTAGCATCAAGATTTAGTAGAAAAAAGAATGAAAATTCGACTTAAAAGACTGAAATGTTGATTTTAAAAGATGAAAGTATCGAGTTTAAAAACATGTAGACCAAAGTCATAGACCAAAATTAATTATTTTATCATCCTTTATTAGGGTTAAAATTTTAATACTAGAAACCGTAATATTATGATTTATATTATTAAGGTTTGAATATTGATTTGGTTATCTAAATATATATATATATAGCTTTGTTCTCTGTATTTTCTATATCTACTTACTTTCAAAATATGCATTTTTGTCCTTGGATTTTTAAATTTTATTTTGTTTATTAGACATTAAATTTTGTTTATTTTAATCCATGTATTCCAAAATAAATAAATAAATAAATAAATAAATAAATATATTTATTTATTTATGATTTATATACTTTTAAAAGTGACTATTTTAATTCATATTTATAAGATTTTAACATGAATTTTATATATAGGGGAAACTCTTTAATATAAATTTATGATTACATTTTAAAAAATGTCGTGAATGAAATGTTGTGCTAAAATTTAGATTGAGTGACCAAAATGGCCACTTTTGAAAAGTATAAGATTAAAACGAACCTTAAGAAAGTGCAATGATTAAGTATTACACCTAATATTTATAGTTATAGTAAAATACACTTTTGGTCCCTAAGTTTGAGAATAAGTTTTTATTTAGTCCCTAAGTTTTAAAAAATGACAAGTTGATCATCGACCATAAGAAAATAGTCCTAAAAAGTCCTTGGAGTTAAACTTCCGTTAGAGAAGGATGGCAACGATGAGTTGTCAATTTGAAGATTATATGGCAATATACAGTTGGAAATTAAGAAGAGGAGAAGATGGATGAATTTCAGTTTTCAGATTGAATGCCCCTTTATCGAAACTATTAAATCGGAACGGCAAGGGAATGAAAAAATGGAGCATTGGAGGAGGAAGAAAAAATGCCACTTCATCTAAAAACAATATAAAAATAATAAATATTGTTATATGCCAACTTACCATTGCCACGTCATTTGATAATTTGACTCCAGGACATTTTAAAACTATTTTCTAAAGTAAGGATCAAGTCGTTAGTTTTTGAAATTTAGAGACTAAAGAGAAACCTAAATAAAAGGGTGTATTTTAACCTGATAGTTATATATATATATTTTTTTTTGCGTAAAAAATTTCATCTAAAATAATAAAAGTTAAAGAAAAGACCTTTTCTCTTTTTTTTCCTCCTTATCCACTTTGAACCTACAATTTGAAGTTTGAGCTCCAAACAATTTTTTTATTCGCTTTTTGAGAATGGACAAGCTTTTTTGTTTTAAAGGTTGACCTACTCCATCTTAATTGGTTTGGTTTTATAATTTTGAACTGAAAACCCAACCAACTTAATTCCTTTATTGCATATTGTTTAATCAGATGAGACTTTCATTTCATAAAGTCAAAACCAATTAAAACAAAAATATATAACAGAGATTCTTTATGATTGAATTTTCATGCTGCTTTCTCATATTTATTACAGAAAAACAAAAATTTGCAGCAAAGTATGAAATTAAAATTAAATCCTAAATTAGATATTGGAAAAAAAAACCGTATGACAAGATTTTATGAAAAATAAGTCAATGACTCAATTGTTAGTTTTTTTTTTAATTTTAAAGATTTAAATAAAAAAAAACCAAATCCACCGTACAATTTCTTTATCCTTATGCTTAGTACTCCATTCCAAACTTGGTAACCTATAACCACCACAAATTGCCACGTGTTCGTTGGATTAAAAATTAAAATCTCTATCTTCCTATTTAGACTGTAATGCTCTAAATGTATTGCAACATTAAAAATATATATTTATAAGTTATGATCATTTATTAGCTACATCATGTCACAGTTGTGTCAAAATGAGCATAGTTCAGCGGTAATTAATATATATTACCAATCAAGAGATTATATTGTGAGTTCGATTCCCACTCCCATTTGTTGTACTAAAAAAGGAAAAAACATGACTTAATTGGTTAAAACATATATGCTCGATCAAAATGATCAGAGGTTCGAATTCTCACCTGGATATATGGTTATACTAAAAAAAAACAATTCGATTGACTAAATGTATGTTCTAATATTTTATTATTTATAATTATTTTTTAGATACTTTTTTTTATTAATAGTTTATCACAATGATTATACTCTTACGCTAGAACAAGGGTTTGGAAAAAAATTTGTTTTTGTTGTTAAGAAAATTGAGTTGGGTTGGGTTGTTGAGAAGTAGAAGAGTTTTGTTTAAGTTATAATTTACTAACAAAGGAAATTGAATTGAAAAAATAAATATAGTAAAATATTTTGGAGAAAAAAAAAGGATTATTTATTTATTTTTTGGAAAGAAAAAAAAAGGATTATTAATTATTATGGAGTAGCAACATTTGCAGAATAACTGCAACAACCAAAGTGAAGGGCAGGTTCGTTAGCCTAATCCAACCCAACTCCTTCCACTTACTTCTTGCCCTCCAAATTCCAATTTTACCCTTTATTTTATTACACATTTACCTCCACCCCTTTTGCATAAATCCACATTTTTCTTTTTAAAAGTTCTAACTAAATGTGATTATTATGTTTGAAAAAATTGTTATTATAAAACAATTTTTTAAGAGTAGAAATGAGGGAGGAAATTTGGAGCCTCTGATTTTTCGGAGATATTACCAAGATTGGTTAACCACTTGAGTTGTATAGCACTTGAAAAGAAATAATAATAATTAATACATAAAATATGGGTAAGTGAATGAAGTTGATTGACCTTTTATAATATCAAATGATAAAATTTGTTGTTGGAGAGTAAAATTCAAGGTGACCATGTTAACCAATCATCTTAGTTCGATAACGTCTAAACAACTTATCTATCCGTCCTGAAATTAAGTTAAGACAAGATGAACCAGAGAATTACCAAGTTCCCTTCTACCAACTCGAGGGTACCAACCTCAGCCAAAAAATCCGTATAATTTCCCCAACCTCCGGTCCTAAGGGACTTATCTCCTCACTTTGCCTATAAAATGAACGGCAGTTATCTGACTCTATTATGTCTAAGAACGACCTACTGAGCTCGAACCTTTACTTACTTGGGTGTCAGAGTTTTATTCCTTTTGTGTTGGTCACTTCTGGTATAACTCCCTCTTATGTAGTTCGACTATAGCTCGACAAAGTTCAGCATCAACATTTGTTATGATTTCAAATTAGAGTTTCGAGAAACTGGAATTTCATTTTGTCAAGTAAACTATGGCACATGCCACACTACATAATCTTTAATAATATAGCCCATGTATATTACGTAAACATTAAATTGACAGAATTAGTTAACTGAACATAAACTTAACTATTTAAAACAAACACATATATATATATTACAAAAAGTTTAGAGGTTCAAATATATATCCACTCTTACACGTTGTTGAACAAACAATAACAGATAAAATTCATTGACACAAAATAAAAAATTTAAGCACGTAGGCCTTTTTTAAAGGGTTTTTGCGTAAATTGCATTACAAATCAAGGTCAAATTATTTCAACCCAAAAAAATGGATCTTCTCTCACAGCCTCACCCATGGTTCTAAATATCCATCAACATATCCATATTTCTATGAGTTCGACATCAACACGAAAGGTAAATCGACATTTCCATCATAGTATAAAAAAATTCGACAAAATACGGAAAATATTAATAAAATCTCACTAATATATATATATATATAATATTAATATTAATTATTTTTAACCTATTTTGAAATAGGAAAATGTTTATTTATTAATTTAAATATTTGATATATTTTTAATTTCTCTAATTCTAATAGAAATATCCATCGACATTGACATTTTATATAAAATTGAGATATCGATATTTTCATAGATATTGACTTGTAAAACTTTTAAAGGTAAAAGTAAAACGACGCCGTGAAAATAACGGTTTATTTATTTATTATTATTATTTTTTCTGGAAGCCCGTGAATGAAATATGAATGAATGGAATGTAATGATTTTTTGGATCCTCCTTTTCGGTCTCCACCACATAACTATATATATTTAGTTGAGTTACAGGTGAACGCATTGGACTTCTTTCATCTCTCTCTCTCTCTCTCATCGATTCTCTGTTCTAGAGAGAGAAACCGAAACAATTCAGAAAAATGGCTGCCGACGACCTCGAGCTTGCTGTAGAAGAAGCAATGCCATGGCTTCCGAGTCAAGTTCTCGACGAGGCTTGCGATATCAAGGTTCTACTTCTAATTCTACTTCTTCATCCATCGATCAATCGATCCATAGATCGCCTGATCTCTTTTAAATTTCAGGTGTATATGCGGCAACAACAGCAGAAGCCTTACCTCCACCGGCAACGGCGCCATGATCGTCCTCTGTCATCGCCGCCGTCGGATCATTTCGCGCTTCCACCGGTACGCTACTGCATTTCGATTGCGATTCCGATGTTAATTCGTTTGTGAAGCTAGCTAGCGCCCTAAGTTATGTTGATTCTGATTTTGTTTTGATTCGGTGAATTAAATCGAATTAGCATCAGAAATCGAAGTACGGTAATGTCTCTGCTCGGCCGCATCAGAAGCAGAAATCGGCGGCCAATTGGACGGCCGGAGGACCTGGAATGCAAGCGATTTTCCTCGACTCCGGCCGGCAATTAGGCGGCACCGGCGTTTTTCTTCCTCGAGGAGCAGCCACTGGTTACCAACCAAACAAGAAGCCAGGTAGGGATTTCTGATTATATTCTTTTTAACATCTATTTAATCAATAATATTTCCGTCCAGAGATTTAGAAAATAAAGCAAACAAGAAAGAACTCTGCCTTCGTGCGTACCTTTTTCTCTCTCTCTCTCTCTCTCTCTCTCTCTCTCTCTCTCTCTCTCTTCAATCAATTTACAGAAGAGAGAGAGAGAGAGTTTTTTTTTTCTTTTTTTTTTTAAAGAGAAATTTGGCAATTTGCCTTTTGGTTGCACGATGTGCAACTCTTTGTAATTTTAATTAATTAAAACTAAAAATGGTTGATCAAATTAAATTGAGATTCTGATAACAAGATACATTCTGAATACATGACATAATTATTAAATTAATGAAATTCGACGAATTAAGAATATAACAAAAAATTTAAATCCAACAAATTTGCTATTTGGCGGAACTCAAAATAGAAAAAAAAAGATTCTATTTAGTATTTGTTATCGTATTAAATGAGATTATAGTCATGGTTTACACGTATCTTAAAAATATATATTAAAAAAAACAACCTACCATTTATACAAGTGCTTTTGTGTTATTAATAAATATCAATGAACTCTTCCATATAAAGTCATATTACTATATTTGATAGATTTAGGATGTGTTTGGAACTTGGAAGCGGAAATCTTGTTTTATAGTGTAGTTCTTCTTCTTCTTCTTTTTTTTTTTTTTTTTTTAAGTTTTAATATGTTTTCTTTTCATCTTTTGTTGAATTATTTACTTTTCATATATAATCTGATTATTTTTTAAGTGTAGTTTGATTCAAATGTAGTATGTTTTTAAATTAGTGTGAAGAAGGAAACAGTTTTTAAAGATTAATCTATATAACAAAATTTTGAAAATATAATTTTAAGTTTCTGAATTATGATCCTAACTTTGTCACCTTGATTTCTAATTTTGGACTAATAAAGTGTGAATCTATTTGTAGTTTGTTCCATCGTTCTTCTCCCTGCTCGTGTTGTTCAAGCTCTTAATCTCGACGTTCAAGCATTAGGATTTCAAATTTCTCCTCGAAAAGGTATGATGATATATTTTCAATAAAATGTTACTTTTTTAGTTCAAATCTTAGGTTGTACTAAGAAAAATGTATTAAAATTGAATAATAAAATTTTAAATTTAAAAATTATTTTTTAGAAACTAACCTCTCTGTAACTCATTATAAAATTCAATGACCCTCGGAAGTACTATTATCATTTAGAATAGAATTTTCTTTTTTTTTTCTCTTTCTTTTTTTTTTAAGGGACAAAAGTTATACCTTATAACTTTATTTATATAATTTTTCGATTCTAAAAATTTTAAGAAGTAGTACAAACCCATGACCTCTGAGTCAGATACATGAATCTCAATTCTTTTTATAATATATAAAAAGTTCTTTTATTATTATAACTAGTTTAACAAAAGCTCTAATTTCTTACTTTTTAGTCGTGTCAATGTTATCATACAATAAAATAAATAATATCATGCGTTGTCCTTTTTTCACTTGATTTAAGAAACCTCATCTAGCCAATAGAAAAGAACATGCAAGGACTTCATCAAATTTCTTTTAATACTTTTGAAGATAAAATTCGTCGAAAAATAGAGGATCAAGAGATATTTAGCCAATTTCTAACCGTAATATCTAAAATGATAAATAAGTCAATTATTTAAGACTTGTGATGGTTTTTATAAAATAAAACTACCAAGAATATTGTTGTGAATTATAACATTAATAATATAACATACTATATTTGTGAATTGTAATAAATTCAAGAACTTCTAGAAGATTAGAAAAAACCCCATGAAAATGAACTTAATAAATTGAAAAAGTGACGACTAAATGCAAATTATAACTTATTTTGGATATATAACTTATTCGCAGATCCCAACGGCAACCAAAAGGGTAGAGAGTGCAACTCAACTGTAAAAAACAAGAAGGGCAAAGATGTAACATCCACAAATTGCTCTTTCATGTCCCAAAATCAAACCAATTCATCCCAAGAGATATTTCTTCCCAAGGAATGGACATATTAAGAGATCCAAAATATTCATATTTAAATAATACCCGGACGTTTATCGGTTAACACCCATCTTCATGTTGACCATCATTAAAAATTGGGTACTCTTTCTGTCTAGACAAAGAAAATTTTTTTTACATTCCTCTATCTTATTTGTCAAAAATTTAATAGTAATCAACAAGAAAAATGAGTGCTTACTGTAAGTCGAAGTATCATTCTTCATATTTTACTCAGGTATGAAAACTTTCATGATGCAAAGTTAGGGCTAACTAGCTCTTCAAATGCTTTCATCGTAATCATTTGAATAATATGTCAAAATTGTAATGCTCATTTTTATGACAAATCAATATCTTTTTTATTTTGGTTATTTAACTTTTATAGTTATTTTGTTTTTGGTATTTTTAAAAATTAATGTTACACAGTTTCTCAACTTTCAAATGTCTTATTTTAGTACTTAAATTTTGATCTCACTGTAAGTTAACTTAATAGTTGTTGAGGTCAGTGAAAAGATAATGAATTCAAATCATCAATAGTCACTCTTACCATAGATTTTGAGATTGCGACTAAACAATCAGATGTTTTATTAAGAGATCTAATTACATTCTTTATCCAGAGATTTACTTACCTCAAGGAGAGATTGGATGACTAAGAAACAATCGTTTTCATAGCGAACTATTTATTGTGTCTTTCACTAACTTAAAATTGTATATCCATTATATATAAATATATAATTTGATAAAGGGTCAAAAAGGACATGTGGTCATGCGAAGAATAATGAAAGATCGATTTGCCAGGTATTTTCCCATTATCTTGGAAATACTTAATGTTCAACTTATTTAGCTTGACCAATGATAACTCGATAGCTTGGTTGTCGAACAAATTGTTGGTCAAGGAAAGCCATATGTCGAAGTACGACACGTTCAACTCCTTGTTACGGAAAGCAATCTGATTTCTCATCTTGAAAGCTTAGATCAGACTCTTACTGACTTGAGCGTCAAAATATTTGTTTCTTTGGTACAAATCTTTCTTCACATAACTCGTTCTAGATAGTTCAGTCATATATCCGATCCCACCCATTCTTAGGATAGTTCGAAATCCAGCATAAGCATAATAAGTAAAAAATGCCAATTTAATTGTCTCCACCTAATTATGATATAATAAACTTCACTTTTTTATTAAGGAAATCATAACATTACATTATCTATTGTCATTTTCTTAAAATCCTATCAATTTCTTCCATAATTCATTGAAACACATGATATATATAACGACTTTTTTTTTTTTTGAGACAACATGATATATATAACTATTCTTTAACTATTGCAACATTTTATCTAGTCTAGGGTAAATTCAATAAAATTGAAAGTTTATAGTAAAAATGGACACAGAGAGGAAAAAAATGATTTTTTTAATTATCATTTTCTTTAAACGTCGTCGTATATTCTCTTACACAACAACCATCCCAATCAGTCTATTGACGATAATGTCCCTCAACTGCGTTCCGTTTCCCGCTGCAATTTCATTTCGAATAAATACTCTCTCTCTCTCTATCTTTCTCTCTCTTCGAAATTAACGGGATGGAGGGGGAAGGTTCCTCGGAGATGGAGTATACAGAGATCGAAGCCTCCGCCGATTACTTCGACAGCTCCATTCTCTTCAATATCATCAACGATGTCTCCGCCTTCGTCTTGTTCATGCACCAACAACTCCCTTCGTAAGTTTCTTCCCTCAATTTCCAACCTATTTTCACTTCCGTAGCTTAGAAAGTGCAAGAATCCGGAAAAAAAAATGCATTCAGCTGTCATACGTATTGGAAAATGTCTGATTGCGAAACAATTGAGTGATCGAAAATTTCAGTTTGTGAAGAGAAATTAGGAATTCTATCAGATGTGAGCTCCGTTAGATTCTGATGAGTATTTCCGGTTATGTTTACTGATGAGTATTTATGTATTACTGATAGGTATAGAATGAGAAGTACTTTTAAATGTTATATGATTTTAGTGACTTCTTTCCAGGAGTTTTAAGTTGCTATGGTTATAGTTTAAAATGAATTCTGCACGAAACGATTAAATTAATGATGTTATTGAGCTACCAGAAGATTTATTTTGCACAATTTTGCTTAGTTCTTTCTTATTAATTTATCTGTTTTGAAGTGTGTACTTCTATGCTTTTTGCATCGAGATTGTGGGGCGTGTGATGCAACTTTTGTTTGATTGTTTCTTTCCCAAGTTTATCACAAGAAGCCCTTGCTAGAATAACCTTATAAAGTAGATGTTGAGGAGAAAAGATCGCCCATAAGAAACATATGTGCAGTGAAGAAACAAAATATGTAGCATTTGGAAGTGTTGAAATTATTAATTAGTATGCCAATGTCTTTTTTGGAGTCAATGACTTCTCTTCTTTTTAGTTTCAGTAGACAATTATTTCTGATTTAATCTTCATCATTGAGCCAGAAGTTCATTAATTAAAAAAAAAAAACCTACTCTTGCTCCTCTATGTCTTGGGATATCAACTCGAACATAGCTCAATTAGTTAAAACATTTCGTAACAGTCATGGGTGGTTCATTAATCCAAAGAGGCTATGATTAATTTAGGGAGGGAATAGGTTTAAACTCCATAGCGGCCACCTACCTTAAGAATTAATTTCTATGTGTCTATGGACACCAAATGTCGTAGGGTCACGTGGTTGTCCCGTGAGACATTTCGTAACTTATTTCAAGATCATCAGTTATATTTGAATCGTGTCACATACAGAAAGAAAATACACCACTAAACGAGAAATCTATTTCCTATGTTTGTACCTTAAGTACTCTACTGACGTTTGGTGGCTTAGTGCAGAATACTACAGGATATGAGCATCGAATTTGATACTTTGCATGAAGAATACAAAGAGCTGGTATGTCAGCTGAAATGGGTAGTTTCGTTTACATTTTCTTGCTTCAATATGAAGAGCATCATAACAAGTGTCGGTTTTAGGGAAGTGAACTGGCACAAAACGAACTAAAAGCATCATCACGAAGAAAGCATACTGGGAGAATGAGGGAGGTCAGACAGGGAATTAAGAGAATGGAGAAGTTAATGAATTCAGTCTCTGGTTTTCAATCTGCTATCAAATTGTTGATTACAGAGATTCCTAATATCGAGGAAGTCTTGTTAATTCTTGGAGCTACTCCACTACGACCTCAACATGTCTATCAGCTGTGCTTTTTACAAAGAAAAGCTGCGGTGGGAGGTGCCGATGACTTCATCAAACACAAAGCAGCAGAAGTTCTTTCAAGAAAGGTGCTCGTAAATTGTAATATATTTCCTAGAATTCTTCATTGTTTGATTCAAAATTCATTATTATTACAGGCCATTCGAACATTAATCTCTAAGGACGCTGGCTCTTCCTCGTATCCAGGTACATAGTTGTGCATGTTAAAGCATAATGATCCAGTTTGGAGAAGAATTCTCACCCTCTAAATTTCTCTTATTAAGAAATGATAACATATTTTTTTAGGCCCTACTAAGTTGTTTCTATTGGTGAAGGCCCCTGCTTCTTTCAATCTGCCCTTGCACTTCATTCCAAAACGTGACTTCCGATACAGCAAAAAGGTAAATGTTAGATATGTCTGCTTTTGTTTTCATCCCAAGATATTGATATGAGATGATATTGGGCGGCCCAAGAGACAGTCCGGTTGGTAAGAGTTTGAGGTCTTTTGGTCATACTGGTTTAGAGATCTTAGGTTCGAATCTTCCGGGGAGTTTAATATCAAAAGCCCTTTATGTCTCCTGGGTGGTGCAAGTGTCCCGGGATGCAGGATACTAAAGCTCCGACTCCCCGTTATAAAAAAATGAGATTGATCTTGGGGATTCTATAATCTATCTCTCTGTTATTCATATCAGATTATCCAGTTACATAAGAATTTGACTGCTGTAATAGAATATACTACATCTCTGTCATTTATCAACACCATTTGTCATTAGAGCTTTCAGTTTGATCCAAATGCATAATCTTAGGTCAAAATAAGGGTGTTGATCATCTTGATTGTCCAAACCATTTAACACCATTGCCTGCATCTGCATTAGAATTTTATAATCAATTTGATATCATCTAAAAATGGTCTTTGATTCAGATAGTGCCTTTCAAACTACGATTTAAGTGCAAAGGCCAAATCCAGAAGATGAATGCTCCTGATCGTGAGTCTCAAGTTGGAAACTGTGATGACCTTACCAACTCTTCAGTCGAAGATTCAATCTGGTACAGGAATGCTTTAATCATTAATTACTATTAATTTCTACTCAATGTTCAAGTAAAAATTATTGGTTAAGTATGTTAGGACATTGCATTGTGTGGTGTTTTGCGAGTGTTTAAGCTTACTCAAATTGATTTCTCCAGCTATGAATTAAAGGAGGGTGTTAAGAAATAAAGTTAGTTTATGTATAGTGTTATTTATGGTGTCGATTGTCCAAAATCCGAAGGCAGTTAATTAGAGTCGGTCCAAGTTTGTTTTTGTTGGTTATGCTTATTTATTAATAGTTTTCTTTATCTTTCTAGTATAATTTTAAAAGCATTTGTGAAACTTTAGCCAGATTTGGAAAACTTAAAAAAAAAATCTCCTTTTGTTTTCTAAGATTCAAACTATAATGTCAAAGTGTTTTTCTTGGGAGTGATACAAAACAAGAAAATATAAGTATAAATAACTTTAAGGGTTCAGATTAAGTAGTCTATAAATATTTTGTGTCGAAGAGGTTTTGAATTTTTAAAAAATGTCTAATAGATTTATTATACAAAAATTGAAAGTTAAAAAAGCTACTATACTTTTTTTTTCTTCAAGTTTGGGGACCTATTAAATACTATCTCAAAAGTTTATAAATTTATTACATGCATTTTAAAGTCTTGGAATCTAATAGATATTGCCAGAAGTTTAAGAACTAATCTTATAATTTTAACCAAAAAGTTATTGAAACATGCTTTGTTAATATAACTCCTATTATATAGCTACTTTCTAGGGGAGTATGTGCCAAAATTGAGAGCTTTACGTCTCTTATTCCTGCCCATTTATATGCTCAAGTCAAAAAGTCACCTATACTATTTTTAAGGTTGAAAAGAACCGTCTGTTAATCATGTTATGCTGCAATACTAATATTTCATTCGTAATTTTAACAATAACGAAGTTGGATGATCATTATTAAATAATATGGTTGTTGCATTTCAGGTTTCAATGTAGACATGCAATCAAGGGCCTAGCATTCAACAGACCCGATGAAGATTGAAAATGGCGATTGCCAAAGATACAAGTAAACACTAACCTGTACACTTTGCATATGAATAACCTCTAATTGTAGTTTGTAGACCAAAAATCATTGCTCCTTGAGAATTTAGCTCTACTTATGCAGGCAGTCTGGAATAGGATTTAGATCCTTTTGGAAGGGGCGTAAAATTCTCGGTTCGGTTTTTGAACAGGAAAAAAAAAAACGGAATCGATTTGGTTAAGCGGATATGAAAACTTTTAGCTAATTTGAATGGTGGGGATCTTGATGTATCCAAAATCATTCTAAAATTAGGAACACATCTTAAATTTACTAAGGTGAAAAATATTTCACTTTTTCCCGAATTTAATCAAAGTTAAACATATCATATGGTTACTAATATTCCAGGTAACTTTTAGTTCCATTTTTTAATCAATACTCTTTTTATATTAAAATTTTTTAGGTTAAATTACAATCCCTAAACTTTCAAATTTTGTCCAATAGGTCTTATGAACTTTTAAAAGTGTTTGCACCGTAACTTGTGTCTAATAAGCTCCTTACATAGTATACATTTTAAAAGTTAATGGATCTATTAGACATAACATTGATTTTATTTTATTTTTATCCAACAAGACCGTAAACCTTCAATTTTGTGTCTAATAAGTTCGGATTTTAAAAATTTTCAATCAGATCGAGGATCTATTAAGTATAAAATATAAAATTCAATAATTCATTAAACACAAAATTGAGAAGAAATTTATTAGTTTGTGGATTTATTTGACACAAAATTTATAACTTCCAATTCTGTTCGTCGGTTAATTCCACCAAAAATTGTTTTAAGCAAAATTCATTTCTTCCTCGACATTCCTTTGGAATCATTCCCCCTCCTCCCCAAATCCCATCATCTAAAATCAAAGTTTTGAACCTTTTTAGTGGCTGCTTGAAATGGTGAATCCTAAGCAAATGTTCCTTAAGCCAAGACCATAAGTCTTGATAATCTTGAATCACATCTTTTTTCTAATTGAATAAAGTTTAATAGTTTAGACAACACTTTTATTTTTCTTATTTTTTTTAAGGTTGAATTCATTTCTATAAAATGTTTTTTCTTTTTTGGATTTTTAGAATTTATGACAAAATGAAAGTGTATAGAAAGATAATTTAGAGATCGTCATTATTCAAATCATGATTAATGCAATTCCTACTCAGCGAACTAAGGAATCACCATTTATTTAAAGAGAGGAAATGAGGGTGGGATCATTTACAATTAGAATGAGCCCCCAAAAACTTGATTTCAAATATAACTCAATTCAGGCATATTTTATTTATAATATTTTTATAGTTCATATGATAAATTATAATTTCATTAACTTTTAAAATTCGAGCGGAATTCCTATGAGTTTCATCGCGACAATTTATTAGTAAAATTTTAACGTCAATAAGTTCTTGAAAATTACAACCTCGTTTGATAACAATTTTATTTTTTGTTTTATCAAATAATATATATTTTTTTAATATAACAACATGTGGGTGTGGAAATTTGAACTCATAACTTTTTAGTCGAAAATATATACCATATCAGTTAATCTTTTTATTTTATTTTGATATCCCTCCGATTAGTTATGGTTAGATTTGCGAGGGATGAAATATTATATTGTATTCAAGTGAATAAACTTTTTAGATTTGATGTAAAATAAACTTGCCAAGATTTTCTCAAAAAAAAGAAAGAAATAAATAAATACTTGCCAAGTTTTAGATTTTGTTTAGAAATTCAAATTTGCACCGTAATTCAACTTAAAAGAGAGAAAAAAATTAAATAAATAAATAAAAAAAGAGTATGAAATGGGATCCAAAATCTCATATTTAGGATGGTATTATTATTTTGCATTAATAATTGAGAACAATTGGGGGAAGACGGAAGAGACGGAGCCATAGGAGTTTGAGCAGAGACCTCTGGAATCTCCCCGCCGCCGTCGTTCTGGTTCTCCGTCGTAAGCTCGTCACCGGCGGAGCAATCACGATGAAGTTTCAATTGGAGGACGTAACAGTGTACTTCCCTTACGATCACATATACCCGGAGCAGTACGCGTACATGCTTGAGCTGAAGCGAGCTCTCGACGCCAAGGGCCATTGTCTTCTCGAGATGCCCACCGGCACCGGCAAGACCATCGCCCTCCTTTCTCTCATCACCAGCTACACCCTCTCCAAGCCCCAGAACCCCGTCAAGCTCATCTACTGCACCCGCACTGTCCACGAAATGGAGAAGACCCTCGCCGAGCTTAGACTGCTCCATGATTACCAGGTTCACCAGCTTGGCCCTCGCGCTCAGATCTTGGCTGTCGGCCTCTCGTCCAGGAAGAATCTCTGTGTCAATCCGAGGGTTTTGGCGTCCGAGAATCGGGATTCTGTCGACGCTGGTTGCCGCAAGCTGACCGCCAGTTGGGTTAGGGCTATGGCGGCGGAGAATCCGAATGTGCCTACTTGTGAGTTCTTTGAGCAGTATGAAAAGGCCGGCTCCACTGCGGTGTTGCCGCCGGGGGTTTATACGTTGCAGGTACTACTGGTTGAATTCCCCATTTCTTTCTCTAACCATTGACGGTGATTTAAAATTAAAATTTCATTCTCTTCTTTGGGGTGTTGGTGTAGTTAGTGAGACAGTGTTGAAATTCTTAGAGCTATCAATTCTATAGCATTTAATTTTGATGACGATTTCCAAATCAAATTCTAGTGTCACCTACGGCTTTACTTTACGTTTTATAGTATGAAGACGAATTGTTTCTTAAGTCATTTAAATTCTTCTATTTATTCATTTTTATAGATGGAAATCTTTTATAGATGGAAATCATTTGTACCTTGAATAATTCATTCATGTAACTTCACCACTGGATTTATAGGATCTGAGGGCTTTTGGGACAAAGAAGGGTTGGTGTCCTTACTTCTTGGCACGGCATATGGTACAGTTTGCAAATGTGGTAGTATATAGTTATCAGTACTTGCTTGATCCCAAAGTGGCTAGCATTATATCCAAGGAAATGCAGCGAGAATCTGTTGTGGTGTTTGATGAGGCACACAATATTGATAACGTGTGTATTGAAGCCCTCAGTGTTAGTGTGAGGAGGCAGACTATTGAAGGCGCCAGAAGAAATCTCAATAAGATGCGCCAGGAGATTGAGAGGTATAATCAGATATTAAGTTGATTTCTCTTAATATCATTCCATATCTGGAAATGGTGTATGACAGTGCATTTTCCACATCAGTGGTAGTCTAAAGGACATGGTTCACTTGTTTTCAATGTTCTTGAGAGTTAATGTGCTAATGTCTCTTATTTAGAGATATATTTAGGTCTCTGTGCTCCTTCAAATGTCATGTCTCTCATGTAGAGGAGCATGAATATGAATAAGTTGACCGATTCTGTGCATTGTCTAGGTATTTTGGTGTTTCTGTTACTCTTGAATTGGTATCTAATTAGTATTTTTCCTTGATATGGTAGGAAGGTTCAAGGAAACTGATGCAGGTAGATTGCGTGCAGAATATAACAGGCTGGTAGAGGGTTTGGCACAAAGAGGGAACCTACCTAGTATGTTGGACATTGTAATTCAAACAAAATTGAATGTGTTTTGTTCTTATTGTAGAATAAACTCAGCCTCTTTAATTTTGTGGTGCAGTCACGGATACCTGGCTCTCAAACCCTGCCCTTCCAGATGATATTTTGAAGGAGGCTGTGCCAGGAAATATACGTCGAGCCGAACACTTTGTACATGTATTGCGGAGATTGGTTCAGTATCTTGAAGGGCGTTTGGACACTGAAAATGTCGAGAAGGAAGGGCTTGTTAATTTTGTTGGCTCTGTTGGTTCCCAGGCTGGAATTGACCAAAAAACCCTGAAGTTTTGTTATGATCGCCTCCACTCCCTCTTGCTGACTCTAGAAATTACCGACACCGATGAGTTTTTGCATATACAGACCATATGTGACTTTGCAACACTTATTGGAACATATGCACGGGGTTTCTCAATTATAATTGAGCCTGTTGATGAGAGAATGCCACATATTCCTGATCCTGTACTGCAGGTTGGTTTATATCTGTCTTAATTTATATATTTATATATACACCTTTTCTTCTTGAAACGTTTTAGGAGTATGGAATTTGGATGATAAATGTTGGAATCTTAGGTTTAGATGATCTCTTGATGATAGAGAAGTGTTTGAGTTGGGTTCCTTCATAGATACGGACCTACGGTAGATGGTTTTTTACTTTAGCAAGAGTTTTGATCTTGAAGTGGAAACTTCAGAGATCAGGAGAATACACATAATTTTTTAACTCCTTTTCTCTGGGCTAGGAGGCCGTATTTCTTCTCCTATTTCCATGTGGAGACGAAACGGAATTCTGAAGAAGTGAAAATCTCTTTGATCTCCAGTCTCTAGTTGCATATCCCCCAGCTTATACATGATGCTATCCACTGAAGTTTTGATTTGAACTTTATATTGTGTTTTTCAATAATTATGTCCATCTTTTTGTTTAAAAGTGATTTATTAAATATTCATTTATTTTCTCCTCAGCTTAGCTGTCATGATGCCTCGCTTGCTATCAAGCCTGTGTTTGAACGATTTCAATCAGTCGTGATAACATCGGGAACTCTGAGCCCAATTGATCTCTACCCTCGTTTGCTCAATTTTAATCCTGTTGTTAGTAGAAGTTTTACAATGTCTTTGACCAGAGACTGCATATGCCCAATGGTTCTCACTCGTGGCAGGTGTGCGTTTCAATTGAAATATATTATGTTTTCTTTCTGGCTTCTGCATATTATTATTGAAATTCTTCTATTCTATTTTTTATTTCTTAGTAGTAAAGTAGGATTTCCTATATTGACTATTGGTTGTTTTGTTACTCTAGCGACCAGCTCCCAGTAAGTACTAAATTTGATATGAGAAGCGATCTTGGTGTAGTAAGGAATTACGGCAGGCTGTTGCTTGAGATGGTGTCAGCCGTTCCTGATGGGATAGTATGTTTCTTCGTCAGTTACTCATATATGGATGGGATTATAAACAGTTGGAATGAAACTGGCATATTAAAGGTGACAATACTAATGTTTGGCTTGGTTACAACATTTTAGTGGAAAGTAGTCTTAACATGATCGACCCTGGTCATACTAAACAGTTGAATACGTTTTCTCAGGAAATAATGCAGCATAAACTTGTGTTTATTGAGACCCAGGATGTGGTGGAGACTACGCTGGCTCTTGACAACTACCGCAAGGCTTGTGATTGTGGGA